ACAACCTCATTATCTCCTAAATCAGACCCATTTTCAACTGCAAGGGTATCCTCAATTCCATCAAAAACAGAGGACCCTTCAACAACTCCTCCAAAAACAGAGTCTTTATCATTTTCAAAGGGTTCAGAACCTAGAGATTCGGATTGTTCAGATGGGTTTGATGAAAAAAGTCTTGTTGTTTCACGTAAACAAGATTTGGAAGAAACCCAATGAGAATAATAACGAAATGAAGATTCAAATGAACTCACTGGAGCTAAAGTTTGATCTCTGGATACTTGAGGAAGAAAAGCAACAAAGGCACGGTTTTGGAGGCCATGAAAGTTTTTCCTTGCTACAACTCTCCTCAGAACCGCTTGTCTCCACATTCTCTCTCTCTCTCTCTCTCTCTCTCTCTCTCTGTTTCTCTCGAGGTTTCTCTCTGTAAAACCCTATACTATTGTGCTTGAAGTTTTCCTGTTCTGGGCATAGCCGAAGTGTAAACAGTATAGAAACCCAAAGTCTCAGCCCAGTCCAATTGCCCCTCTTTTTTCAAGTTTTTATCGTGCTCTTTAATTTTTGTCAACAAATTTGTGTTCTTTAATTTTTACTTTTATTATTTATTTTTAAACAAATTATGAGTTATAATATTTTTTATCATAACTTAATTTCACTTAAGCATAAGTTACGTAGTAATTGATTTGTAGAGCAATACTTTTTAGAAAACTTTGTTTTGAACATAATTTTTGTCACTAATTTGTTATACTAAACTCTTATAATTTGGAGTATAATTTGGTAAAAATTAGGCAAATGACATAGTATAAGAAAGAAATTACTTCCTTTCCCTACTCTTTCATTAATTACCAAAAATCCCTTTTTTTAGTGTTTTTCGGATACATAATATAGCAGTGTGGATACTTAATATAACAGCGCGGATACTTTAATTAATAACGGGCGGATACTTAAATTATTAAGTTGTTAGCAGCACGGATACTTAATTAACGGGCGGATGCATAATATAGCAACGCGGATACTTTAATTAATAACGGCCGATACTTAAACTAATAAAGTATCCGATTAAGTTGAATTGGGGGAAAATAAGGAATTTTTGTATTTTAGTAAAAGAGTAGGGAAATATTGAAAATAGTAAAGAAGTGTTGTGTATTTAAGTAATTTTTCCTATAATTTGTGTCACTTTTTTTTTTAGAGGCTATTAGCAAGAAGGGTGTGATTTGTTTCTTATGTTAGTTGGAGGGTATTTTTTAGCCAAAAATGTAAAGATAAAATTAATTTTGAATTAAAAACATAAAAGAAGGTAGAATTAGTCCATTTAAAATAATATAGAGGTATACTTGAACATTTTTCCTTATAAATAAAATAAAATCTCTTAATTCATATATGATTATATCCATATGCATCTCTTTTAAGGACAGTAGTAAATAAACTTTTACTAACTGGACTAATAACAAACCACATATTAAGTCAAATAGTAGGCCCAAGAAAGTCTTGAAACAAAATGCTAGTTGAAGATATCATTATGGAAAAGTTTCAAATAATCGCAGATATGGCTTGCCTTCAAATAAGCATATCTTTTAATATATAAAGAGTTAGAGGGCTTACGGCCGGTCAGATTGAATGTCTACGATTTTAATCTCTAATGTATTAAATCATTTGTTGATGTGACTTCAACATTGAAAAATATTTATATTTTTGTGAGACTGAACAATCAGCCACTTGAAATAGGACCCTAGATCGATGAAGATATATATAATTTCATCTTCTTTGTTTTATTTCATTTTTAGACAACATTTCTTAGAGGGAGAAGGTTCCTTTCTCTATGTATTTTGATATGACAAAAATGAAGATGATCAATCCAAGCTAGATTCAAATTGAAAAACTCTAGCACCCAGACTTGTATGTGCTTTTTCTATTGATTTCAGCTTTACGTGTTGTGAATTAGAATAGGTAGCTCATGTGTTTTTATTTCTTTATTGATAGAATTCGTCCATCTTAAGTTCTGAGTTTTAAGTCTTCGATACGTTTTTAATTTAAGCTTTGAATTAGTTTTGAAAAAATAACTTATTGTTATCGGCATATTTATCATGTTTTGTTGTTGTATATTGAGAGTTTGTGGAGAGTGTTATGGACTATGATATGATAATAGATACGGAAGGTTACGAGCTAGGTTTTGTGTGACTCTAAAGAATTAACATAAGTTATGCTAAGATTATCATGTTCTTCTCTCTATGATTCTTTAGAGCCTAAGTGTGATATGACTATTATATCATAGATGAGTTATTTGTACCAATAGTTTGTGTGGACTGCTTGTGTGTGATATATATATATATATATATATATATATATGTCGTGTTGAACTCTTATTCTATAGAGATAGATTATATGATAAATGCATCTTGAAAATTACTCGTATAAGTTATTTATAGTTTGCTCACTTACCTTCGAGCCATTTACTTTTCTATTGTTGTTTGGTGTAGTTGTAAATGTTTTAGTTACATGAGTTTTGCGTTTTTAGCTAGAATATTTCATGTGCTCAGTTCAAGAATCTTACATACTCAATTATAGGAGCCTTGTATGCTAGTTACAAGAGCTTTTTTGTATTTAGACACAAACATCTTACGTGCTCAAAGACAATTATATCAATCTTATTGCTCAAATATAGATATACAAGCATAATGTACTTAGATATAAATATAAGAATTTTGTGTGCCCAATTTCAAATACAGTAGCCTTATACATGAGCCTATGAACTTGATAGATATATAGTCACAAACTGGACAGACTCACAAAATGTTCGATCTAGAAGGTACAAATGGCCCATAAAGGCCCAGATGATGGCCTATTTAGTTAGATTGATAAATACCTACTACCTTTAAATCCCCTCAGTTCTCTAGAAATTTGAAAACTTATGTTTTTTTTTTAATCATAAATCGTCCTCATATATAGCCACAAATTGGACAGACTCACAAAATATTCGATCTAGAAGGTACAAATGGCCCATAAAGGCCCAGATGATGGCCTATTTAGTTAGATTGATAAGTACCTAACACCCTTAAATCCCCTCAGTTCTCTAGAAATTTGAAAACTTATATTTGTTTTTTTTATCATAAATCATCCTCATATAAAGGGGAAAATCGACATATTCCAAACCCAATTTTCTTTCGACAAACTGTGGTAAAATAATCATAATTTTTTATTTGATGTCGAATTAACGAATGATTTGATGTTTTAGAAAATAGACTTTGAAGACCTTTAACTTGATATACGATAGGCCCTCCAAATTCTTATATATTATAGAATGGGAGATATACTCAGCCAAATCAGCCCGTCAATAAAATTATGTCACAACTTTCTTATTTTGAACTCGATGGCTAAATTTTTGTTTCAGAACTCCTTTTAGTTTTTAACTTTGGTCTAAGAATCTCAAGTGACTTAATACATATATTTCATGGTATAATCACCCATTTAAATTATTCTCTCGACAGTTGATGTTAAACACGATAAATCGAGTTGTTAATTGTAAACTCATTATTTCAATATTTTTCTATTATGAAGTGTAACATTACTATTCATGAATCCAGATATGCTACGAATCTATTCAATTAAATCAAATCATTATAAATGGCATAATAGAATTGAACGAAAATTACATTATTCATATATTTTTTTCAAACTTAAACTCGTAGAGGTCTAACTAAATTTAACAAACGTACTATTTGGATTTCATCATCATAGACACTTAATTACCTAACATACATGACTATTTATAAGTTTTATTGTTAGTCCACAATATGAGATCAAACGTTCTATTTGAAGTTGCTTGTTAATTAGTAGAGACTTGTTATCTCATTAGGAATAGTAAGGTAAGACCTAGTCCCCCTTGCTTGTACTTATCCCTATTGATATCTTTTTATTTTTAATAAAAGGCCGTTAGACGCTCTGTCTAGTGGTAAATTTACTCTAAAAAATATATATTATAGTTAAAGTAGAAAGAATGGACATTCATGTATTAATTTTATACAATGTTTGATTTGTTGGATAAGGTCAAAGTTGAAACACAAATCTGATTCATCCAGACCATTTCAGAATCATTAAGACATTTCTAAGTAGAAAAAAACAAACCCACTTAATGGCCAAATGTTTGAACTATTCCGATTTGGACCTCCATTAAATGCAAACAAATTACAAATGAGGTCTAACTTAGGTATTCATGTATTAATTTTATACCATGTTTGGTTTGCAAATAAGATAAAAGTTGTTCATATTTAAATTTTATACAACGTTTGGTTGATGGTTTTCAAATGTTGTATTGATTTTATACAGTATTTGGTTGTGTTTTTTGTAATCCTACATAATTAATACTTACATAACTTATCGTTAGTTCACAATAATTGATCTCACTCTTGTGGGCGAACACCCCTTAATGTTGAGGGTAAAACATGAAAAAAATAATTGTCTTGGGTTAAAACGTCGAGTAGCCGACATAACACATTTTTTACCCGACCCGGTTCGCGACCCTATTCTGCCCAGACAGTCTGCAGCAAAACCCTCATAACTTATTACTTCAATGTCAGTTTGATACGAGGTTTTGTACGTTGCAAACTAGACTCGTAAGCCTTCGATGTGATAGGTCACGGGCCTTGTAACTCTTTATATATTGGTCCCGAGGGGACAAACGAACGCATTTTCAAGTTCGAACGAGCTCCAAAGTGGGAAAAACCAGATTTTATCGTTTTTCGTGTGCTATATAGTCTATGAATTTTTTCTTAAAATGTCAAAAATAAAAAACTATTTTAAGAATAAGTGACAAGTAAAAGTAAACGGAGAAATATAATTTATTTTGAAACGAAGTTGTATTAAGATTAAGTTGTAATTAATGTTAAAAGAATGAAAAATAGAAGAGGAGCTGACCAGTGTCAAAATGTGAGAGAAAACAAACGGCAGTTACAGATGAAGCTAAAAGGTCGACTAAAATAGAAAGCAACTGAAAAGGGAAAAAAAATAATTTCAATTCCAACATTTTCTCTTTTCAATTCGGTAATTGCTACCATATTTTCCTCTTCTTTAGGGTTTCGAATCAGTGTTTCCCTCTCTTTTCCATGTCTTCATCTCCTAAATCTCATACATCGTAACCCTAATTTCGTTTACAATCACCCATGGACGGCGACTTCACTGGTGGAGAACCGGTAGGGAGGACGTCGACGTCCTATGAAGCGGCGGGAGGACGGCGGAGGTTTACGGTGGAGCTCAGGCCGGGTGAGACAACAATTGTGTCGTGGAAGAAGCTTCTCAAGGACGCTAATAAGTCCAATGTCAATGTTGTCGGTTCTGGTCCAACGGTTGGAGCTCCTGCTAGCATTCAAACTCCAGTGCCGCATCCTGCTCTCGAGGCTCGATTAGCTCCGGTAAGTTGTCATATGACTTTTTTGTTATGTCAACTTTAGTTAATTCACTTGAAGTCATAGTGTAGAATACTACCAATGAGTGTTCTTTCTCGGTTTGTTGTGTTGAAACTTAATTCTAGAAGAAATAATGCTGTAGCATTTGAGCTGCATAAATATTATCAGACATGATTGTAATCGTGCACTGTTAATACTGTCAGTTAGGCTTCTTGCTTTGTAACTGGTGGGCAGAGGGGATCTTACACATATATATATATATATATATTAACATACTGGTGGGTGAAGGGAATGATTGGTTTAGCATCTGAATATAGCCAAGATCAAATTACTCCCTGTAGCCAATTCCTTTGTTTTGTATGGGAAATTTAAGATTACATTGTGGAAAGTGGTACTTGAGTGGCTCTGTTTACCTGTCTCAGTTGTTCCTGTTCTTGGATCCGTGTGCAAAAACCAAACTAGAGTGCGTCCAGAGTATGAAGGTTGTCTCTTTAGTGAAGCTGTACCCCACAGCGTATTGGTGATAAATATAATAGTCAGAGATGAAGTGCACGGTTTCATAGGGAAACTGTTATTGACATTATCTTTCATGTGATTTATTTGATGAAGTATTGGCAATATTTGTCATTAAAATGACAAAAAATATTTTTAGTATTTTGGAATAGTAAAGGATTCTGGGATCTTAGAAGCTGGTTGGGACGCTCCATGATGTTGTCCTCTGGGGTGGTCTGAAATCTGAATATAATGAGTTGGGAAGATATCATCACTGTAACATGCTGTGTTCTTATGACCTCTTTAAGTGGAGTTTCCTTTCGTGATCCAGATGAATTATCAAGCTGCAGAGCTTAATATTGTGCTTCAGTTGACATGTTTTTGATAAATTTGATATATTCTCAAAAAAAAAATGTAGCGCAAAAGAGGGTTCCGTGGCTCTTCCCTTCAAATGTTACAAGAGTTGCCTTCTTTAGGTAGCTCTTACTCCTATCCTAATATTTATTTACTTAAATTTGCTTGCATTTGTACAAAATATGTAGTTCAAAGCCTATTAGAGATCTTCTTGAAATTTAAACTTAGTGATCTGATTTATAAGTCATGCTAAAATTTTATTACAAAATTTTGGGTTAGAACTATATTTGACTCAAGATGGGGATTGTTATCTAACTAAAACTACTATACTAAAAAGAGTTATAGAAAACAATGTATTATTGTAGTATTTTCTTTCTAGTTGGTCCTACGTTTAAAGTTTGTTTATTTTTATTGTTTAAAGTTCTGTGACTTTGCAATGGTGTTAATAGAGGCATCCTCGAGGCACAATTATGCCTTGCTTTCAAACTGGGTTCTTTATAAGCTTTGCAAGCTCACTTAGATTAGGCTCCAAAGTATTGCAATGTGAGGTCTTGGGTGTTATTAAATGTTGAAGATATATGGGGAAAAAACTTATATAAATTGGTATGCAAGGGTTTGACCTAATAATTGATGGAGCTGGAATAGACTATGGGATACCGTGTCTCAAGCACCATAGAGGCAAAGAAAGTTCTGTTGTCTAAGCCTTAGTGGACAAAGTTGCTAGTGAAAGGTAGCACATACTCAAACTGATAAATTAAGGTGTGTGCAAGCTAGTTTAGACGCTATCCTTGCAAATACATACACACACATTATAGCTTATTGTTGAACATCTGCCATTTGAGTTCCAGTGATGATGTTCTTTCATTTCAAAATATAGCGGATAAGGAATAGAATAAAATCTTTTTGTTATATTTTTTTTATCTTCAGTCGTAACAATCCAGATATCGGGCATTTGAAGTATGAAAGAGTTAGATCATTCTTCCAAATCATCTCTTTATGTTGCGGCTCCTTTTCTTATTTTAAATCCAACAGGTGGTATGAGCCACAATTGGTCTTGTAGGATCTGTGAAAGAAAAAAAAAGATAAAAGCCTTCAACTTTTTGAACTCGAAATGTCAACCAACAATAGCCTTTGTTTGTCAACTCCATGTACTCCCATCAGTGAGAGTTACTTAATTTGGTCATTACCCATGTAACTCCCATCAGTGAGAGTTACTTAATTTGGTCATTACCCATGTAAACTTACTTAGAAACCTTTGATTTTGGTAGATTGCCAAGAGATTCTACCTTGGCACAAATCAAGGCCGGCACTGAAGAAACCAATAGGTCCAAAGTCAAGTTTGTTAGTTAGAATTACGTAGGAGATTCATTCTTTCCTAGGCCCATGGAATATAAGACCGCCAATGAAGCTTGGGACAGATTTGAAGTGGAATATTAGGGAAATGATCAAACTAGGCAAATGCAAGTTTTGAATATGGAAAGGGACCTTGAAGCTCTAAGCACGGAGGAAAATGAGGCTATTAGCAAATACTCTAATAGAATTTCCTTGATCGTCAACAGAATCCGTTTGCTTTGTGAGGATTTCCCTGATACAGAATTGTGGGGAAGGTTCTATTGACACTTTGTAAAAAATTTGGGTCTAAGATTTTATCTCTTGAAGAGTCCAAGGATCTTAACTATATTTCAATTGCAGAGCTAATGAGTGCTCTTCAAGCTCAAGAGCGAATGAGCTTTTGAGGCAAGAAAATGTTAGTGAATGAGCCTTTCATGCACAAAACCAGCAAGGAAGCAAAGCTAGACAAAAATATAACAAGAAATAGAATGACAAAATAGAAGCTTGTGATAGCAAGAAACTATTCTCACATTACAAGCATTGCAAATAGACCACACACATGCAAAAATATTGGTGGAGGCCTGGTGCAATATGTGGTACATTTATTCTTTATTTAGATAGGCAATGCAATATAAGGCAGGATCAAGGCCCTGAAAGCAATCAACAAGTACAAACAACTGAGTCAGAAATTCTGGAAGAGGATCTCTTTGTTGCCTCATGCTTTAGCAACAAGGACACAGACACCACTTGGTTCATTGACAATGAATGCATAAATCATATAACGTTTAATGCAACAATATCCATGACTTTGATAAAAGCTCTATAATCACAATAATGATTGGGAATGGGGATGTTTTGAAAGTGAAAGGTGAAGGTACAGTTGAAGTTAAAACTTATATTCTGTCATACTTATTGCTTTGCTGATGTGTTATATGTATCTGAACTCTTTCAAAAATTGCTGACTGTTGGGTAAATGATGGAGAAAGGATATTCTTTTAAGTTTAAGATATTATTTGAGTTGTGCTGTAGTATATACAGCGGTTGGTGATCTCTATGATTAGAATTATTTATTTCGAGTAACATTTTTTTGACAAAGATAAGTATTTAAAGATCTTTCTAAAAAGGAACAAACTAAAAGGGGAAGTAGTGAAATCTGCAAGGACTGGTTTGGTCAAGATTGATGTTGCAACTCTATTACAGAGCATTACTTTGCTTATTCTGGGAACATGTGTTTGATAAATTTTATGCTTATTATCAATGCCCTTGTAGGGACAACCTGCTGATAAGGAAGTCAAGGATGCACCTCCTGGCAATCGTTTAAATGCTGTGATAGAAAAGATTGAACGCCTATATGTGGTATGCATTTTATTGTTTACTCGTTACATGAGACTTGTCAGTGATATATATAAAATTTATGCGTTTATTTTGCACTTGCTCTGCTAAATAACTATTATGCCTTTTAGGGCAAACAAAGTGATGATGAGGAAGATCTTAATGATTTCCCTGATGACGATGAATATGATACTGAAGATTCATTCATAGATGATACTGAGCTGGTCGGTCACATCAAGTTCCTTAACCTTATCTACCTTATACAAATATTTGTTATTTTGTATCCGAATGATTTACAAGCATAGTCAATATTTTGCAACTTTGTGCAGGTGGCATTTATATGTTGTAGTCAAAGTACTTAGTACATCGTTTCTGGTTATGCAGGATGAATATTTTCAGGTTGATAACTCAGCAATAAAGCATGATGGTTTCTTTGTCAACCGCGGAAAGTTGGAGCGCATGTGAGTTTTTTCTTGAGATTTTTAAATAATATGACATGTCTAAACACCACTGTATATAATTTAACCAACTGTTCACCCTTTATCCGGCATCCAAATTTAGTTTTTATATCTATTTCAAAGTTTTAATTGTTAGTTTAAATACAATGTTTGTTTTGATTGTTACCTTTTTTTTTTGTATCATATCGTTTAAATCCATTGTTAAGTAATGATGAAAAGTCTCATTTTGAACTTTACCTTGCTCAAAAAAAGAAGAAGAGAAGTCTCATTATATGTAACAATTGATCTGGTGTGATCTCATCATTACCTTAATATTTTCTTCTCATTTTGTCTTTCTTTATTATTTAATAATCTTATTTTATCTTTTACCCTGCCTTTTCATGTTAGCTCTGCCCCGTATCCTACTTTCCTCGTGGGTTTATCATTCAAATTGCCGACGTGTGACATTATGAAACGACGGAGAATGATATAATCTATCCAAACATCACGATATAATACAACACAACATAATACGATACGTTATAAAACAATATGTAACAAAATTACTCCGCAATCCCATGTTTCAAGTGATTGGATGATTATGCTACATGTGCTTGTGCAACCCAGGATCTATCGATCACATGTTTCTTCATTGCACTGTTGCCACCGACCTTTGGAACATGCTCTTTTCTCTCTTTGCGCACATAAAGCGAGGGGAAGCTCTTAATACGTTTCGAGCCTCACTTCAGGGCTTAAGCGCTCCTTTGACAACACTGTTATGACCCACATATACTCTTAAGTTTTACCATAAATAGTAGTTAATTCTCTCTCCCCAATTCAAGTTCACCCCCAAATCTGGTAATCACTGCAAGCATTGATGGGTTCCTCTTTTACGTGATATTCAATGTTCTCTTTATGTTGTTTTCTTCTTATTCTTCTTGGATTTAATTCGACTCTTCTATTCTTCTTTATTTCTTGATTACTCCTTTCCTGTTTTCTTCTCCTCATGTACGACTCTTATTCTTTTGTCACTTTCACTTTTGGGGTTCTTTTTTACTCTTCTCTCTCATTCCGTCAAAATAATTCCGTTCCAATTTTTCTTGTTTGTTCTATCTATTTCTTGTTTATATTTTGAAATTTTTATTCATCACGTTCTAGTAATGTTTAATTAGGAAAGGGAATCATTTTTTTAAGAAGGTAAGTAGATTTTATATTGCAAAAGAGAAACTTGCCTAGCATCAAGTTGGTGCTGATAGGATAAAAACCCACCTGCTTGCACGGAATCAATGAAATCTAACATACTATCTTCATTCTTTATAATCTACACCAAAGTGCTAAAAGCCATAAACAAAGGCGGAGCCAGGATTTGATGTTTATGGGTTCGGATAGGGGTGTTAAATGAGCGGGTTGAGTCAAATATGGGCTGGTTGAAAATGAATTGGGTGAAAACGAATAAATTATCCAGCCTACCAATATTTTATATTGATAAAAAATGGCTAAACCAACGAATAAATGCATAACCATATTATCCACTGCTTAATATGTAAAAGAAATTGGTATTTCTAGATTATGAACATTCCTCCCCCTCCTCCTCCTCCTTTTAGGGTGTATTTGGTATGAAGGAAAATATTCTCATTATCTTTTTTGTCATATATAATAGCCTCGTTTTTTTAAGAAACAAGTATCAATATTCAATATATTTTTTTAAAAAGGTAACAAGTCCTAGCTAACTTCTTTCTGAAAATATGATTTTGGAATTGAAATAGTGAAAAGAAAAAATGATAGTCTCCTTTTGTTTTAGGGAGGAATTGTCTTTTGCAACAAAGGAAAAAATGATGCAGATTTTTGTTTTCTATTAAAAGGAGAATAAAACATATTACCTGAAAAGGAGAAGACTTTGGGAGCAAGTGGGTTTCGATCTCACATCTCTGCAATACAAAGCTTTAGTACCCTAATCCATATATACATATATTTACTAGCGCTTGTAATATAGGGTCCACACAAAAACTATTGGGTTCGTCCAAACCCCCATAATGTACTGTAGCTCTCCTGGCCATAAACAATTGAAGTTAAGTCCCATAATGTACTATAGCTCTCCTGGCCATAAACAATTGAAGTTAAGTTGTTGTACACTAATTGACTTTCCTTTCAAAATGTAGTTAATTTCTTTCCTTGTGCGAGGAGATTAGGTTCTTGCAATATTGGAAATGTTCACTTTTGTCTAATCCTGTTATCAAAGGTGCGCTTAAGCCCTGAAGCAAGGTCCAAAACGTGTTGAGCACTTTACCTCACTTAATGTGCGCCTTAGTGTTGTCATCAGGGTTCTAAAACATACTTTTCCTTTCCAATGAACCTCTTCCAAGAGACAACACTAAACAATTGATATTTCACTTTATCGTAATTATTATTCAATTTCTTTGTTCATATATTTGTCATTCATGCTTATAAATTATTAGTTACTTTTTCTCCCTTGGCGCCTTTTTTCATTAAAGTTCATGCTTTATTTGCGTTTAAGCCCCAACAGACCTTAGAGTTTTTTTACGCTTTTTACTATTGATAACACTAGTTTAAACCAAGAATTAACCAACTTCTTTCTATGGTTTAAACCTCTGCATCTCTTTACCTAAGAAATTCTCTTTCCTTGTCCAATAAGTTATGTTTTTTCCCTTGATTTTGGCATTCAGATGTATATTTCTTTTGGGACTTTGGTTTAGCTTCTTTTTATCGATACGGATGCCCTTATTCTTTCCCTCACCTATCAAAATACTGGTGATATGTTGTTCATAACACTAGTGAATCTGTAATTATGGCTGCAAAATGGGAAGGATTTATTTGCTAATTTTTCTCAGAAATGAAAACTGATACTTTCATATGTTACCAGTTTCAAAAAAAAGAAAAGAAAACTGATACTTTCATTTGGTTTGTCATTTCATTTGGGCACTTCTAACTGACATGATTTTCTGTTAGTGAACCAGTTTCACCAAAGAATCAGCAACCAAAAAAGAAGAGAAGAAAAGATCTGGCAAAAAGCCATGTTGGGGATGATGATGGACACAATCCAAGTAAACCTGTAAAAGTCGGAAAGAAGGCTGGGAAACCAGTACCAGTTGTTAGTGAAACATCTCATCCATCTCATGGTGTTGCTTTGCAAAATGTATCCCATGAAGAAAAATTCCCGAATCAGTTGAATGTTTCTGAAATACCAATAACAAAGAAAGCTGCAGATACCCAAAATATGTTGGAGCTATCTCCATCAGCATCATTGCGTGGCAATTCTGCAGAAGAAAAAGACCTTGACCAGCAGAAAATTGGAGTTACCCAATCCAAGAATCTAGGTGACAAGTTAAAAGATGGTTCTGAAATATCTGGAAAATCATCTCAGAGGTTACATGACAGAAGTTCTTATGCTCAAGAGAAATCTAATGTAGGAAGATCAATAAACATTTCTGAAGGAATAGACCAGTCTGTTCAGCGCCGTGATGAGAAGTTTAATGTCAGTGGCTTTGAGGGCAAGAACTCAGCTCAGACTATGGTGAGTTGTTTACTGTCCTCTCCCTGCGATAGTGCGTTTCTGTGCTATCTGCCAAATGCTTGGTGTCATAAATCATTTCTCTATGGTATTTTTTTTTTAACTTGGTGTCTGGGCCAACTTGCGTGCACCTCAAACCTTCACCTGAGATCTCATGGTTCTCAGCCCTCTTAATTGACCACTAGGCCACACCCTTGGGTGCCATTTCTCCATGGTATTTATAGCTTGATTTCTAATGATTGCTTGAGAACATTGCTGAAGGAAATTTTTTTCTAGTCGATCATCGTTCAATGTAGGGATAGCACTTATTAATGACCAGGTGAAGCTTTTGAAATGTTTACAGCAAAGTAGAGCTGCACCTATTATGAGCCAAATAATGTCAATAGATGCTAGGAAAAAACATGCTGCCATGAAATCTTTGGGTCTCTTTTGGTGTTAGCAAAAGTTTTTCATCCTTCATGGTCTCTACTAATCTTTCCAAATCAAACCAGTTTCCTCTAAGAAGATACTCCCACCGTCCCAATTTATGTGACAGTAAGTGAGGATAACAGGTAAGGAATCAGTAGCAACCTTGAGATTGATAAAAAGAGAAGAAATTAATCTCTTTAGCCAGTCCCAAAGAGAATGGCATCTTTCTAATTTAGTAACAATTTGACATTGAACTTTTCAGTTTACCCTAAGTGAGATTTTTATAGCCACACAAATATCTTTGACTTATTTTCGACCACAAGTTTCAAAAGTTCTTCTCATTCTGAAACTCCGTGCTTGGCCAAACACCTTTGCATAAATTGGGGAGTACTACCTAGGTCTTCACCTTATCAAGCAAAAATCAAATGTAATTGATAAGAAAATTGACGTTAGACTTAACTCAAACCCAAAAGCTAGAGGTGAGGATTGTCCGTACTACAATTTATACCCTTAACAAATGCAAGATTCTACATCCTTGCAGACCTATGACTTGGAGTATGGATAACACTACGTAGGGGCTTAGCATTAGATAGACCAATATGAGGGATGTGTTTGACTTTGTTTACATGATAAAAGCATGGACCTTGTGTGCTCTAACGACTTAAACATTTAAATGTGATGGTCACACAAGTCAACATTGTATTGGATAAAAGGTTCTGATTGCCATCCGTTAGCAAAATGAATTTTTTTTGTGCTTTGACATTATGATAAACATATATATATATTAATCAAGATGACCTTCTAATGGTCTGATAAGTCCTTCTCCCCTATACTCTGTCAGTTTTCCCTGTGGCTACTGGCTACCATTAAATTTTGCAGTTAAAATGAAAATATGCATACATAACGATCAATCCCCTGTAAACTCCCCAGACAACTTTTTGGATTTTGTTAGCTCCTTATCTTTAGTATAGGGCTCACGGTAATGGTGCTAACCCGTTCACTTTTGATCTCACTCTTTTGTGTACTATGTGCATCTTCTTGATGTCTTTAATGAAATCTATTACTTCATCAAAAACAATCAAGAAGATCTCTAGGTCTAGAAGTCCTTGTTTCCTCTCCATTCAGTTGGTTTGCCTTGAATCTCAGATCTGACCACTTGACCCTGCACCATATAAGATTCAGAGACACACGTATGGTGCAGGGTTATGCAGTCATCTGAGATTCCTAATAAGCTTTTGTTCTTGCTGTAACTGACACTCAGGTGCTCCCTAAAACTATACAGAAAGATCCTGCCATGCAGAGAAAGGAAGGATCGAGTGGTAGACCAAAAGGTACAATGCTTGAGAAGGCCATCAGGGATTTGGAGAAGATTGTTGCAGAATGTATGCCCAAAACCTTTAACATATGTTTTTCTAACCGATAATTCATTTTCTTATGCATTGGTCATCTATTTAATTTTTGAAAATATCACAGTAAGGCCGAGGTTCAGATGTCGTTTCTATTTGATGATAATTTTTTTTTTTTACATTGGCCATTTATTTCAATCTCAAAATATCACAGTAAGGCCACCGAATATGGAGGTTCAGGATGCTGATAATTCATCTCAGGCTATCAAAAGGAGGTTACCACTTGAAATAAAGCAGAGGCTGGCTAAAGTTGCCCGATTGGCGGTATAGACTAAGCTATATGGTCTAATTAGTTCTTATCTTTTTGGTTGATGTAGTTACTTATATTCCATAGCGTACTTATCGAATCCAAATATTTCTGTTGATGGTTGCAGCAAGCTAGTCATGGAAAAATATCCAATGAGTTAATTAGTCGTTTAATGAGTATTGTCGGCCACTTAATACAGCTTCGCACATTGAAGGTACTTTTGTGTGTCATTTGGATGTTCTAGATAAAGTTTGTTATCATACTAACACTGCATCATGTTGAAGCTATATCTGTTTGGGTTATTCTGACTCTATTTATTTCATAAATTGTTCCATATCTCAATTATATTATGGAGATCCCTGAGGCTGTTACAGGAATCAATTGTAGTGATGATTTCTTTCTCTATTTTGGTAGCATATCTTCATTAGAAGACAAAAAGATATCTAAAATCTTGTAATGCATAATGTTAAAGCAATCGTAGTTGTGAAGTTGGAAGAGACATAGAACCAGATACTTTGCCAAATGTGATACATTGCTAAATCTGTTTCAGTTTGAAGAGCTCAAAGACCAGCCTGGTCTCTCATTTAACTGCTATTGTGGACTGCTGACAGTGGCTATTACATGTCACATGACTAATTTTGTTGATTTGTGTGGAAACCTACCATTTGCCGAGTTCCCAACATGAACTTTAATAATTATGTTGCTAATATCTTCTGAATATCCGTCACTTTCCAGCCATTATCCTGTATTTTCTAACACTAGAAGCAACTCTTGAAACATTATTTTACTTTGAATTCAAACAATTTACATTCTAAGGTGACTTGTTGCAAAATCTCTGCATGTCTTACAATATCGAGATATGTTTCTATGAGCCTGTTAAAATTTTATGCTGGTGTATGGAAGTATCCAGTTAGGGTATGTATTTCTCTTTTAAATGAATTTTTAGTTCTTTTGAAAAATCTGCATGAAGTACCCATACTCATGTTGCGGCCATTTAGTACATCAAGATAAATAAAGAAACTATGTAACATAGGTTTCTGGTGGAAGATTAAGCTTTGAGGAGTTCTTGAGCACTGTGCTCTTTTTCACAAGATTACATTGAATATCTTCCGGTGTACTAATTATTGTTTATTTGATTTGTTGCTAAGAAGGTTACTAATTGTGTCCACACTCTCTAGTACAATATTTTATCACAAGAAACACCCAACGGGTGTTAAACTGTATACCGTATGACTCCTAACCTAGTCTCAAGTTGAAAAAAGAAATTATTTTAGCCCCTTAATACCATTTTCTCTCATATTAATCCTTTACAGTTTTGCCTCCACCTCCAACTATATGGTGGGGGTCTAGTCACCAAGGAGCAAAGAGAGTTCAGTTCATTAACCTTTTCAAATATTAAGTTTTGATGTGATGTTTTCCCCTTCAAATTGATTTTTCAATCATTATTTTAGATTTTTTGCCAGAATTACGGGATAATACGTAAGTCAAACTTACTCTCAATTTATTGTATCATGGTTGTGAAATCTGAAGGAGGATAAGTGTAGTAAGAAAAATTGAAAGAGAAGTGCTAGGCAAATCTAGTTTCTTGGCTGAATGCTGTGAACTGCTTTCAAGTTATGTCTAATGCACACACCCTATTGTACATGTTGCATATTCTTGTAAGATCCAATCTGTAGATATTAACGTTAGATTTCTTTTACCACATGTCTCCTTCCTATCTTGCACAAGCTTGCGCCATGCTAGAGAAGTTTATGATAGTGTTTGTCTAGTTCACATATATTAAGGTTTAATATTTCTCTCGTTTAACTGGTACTAATGCTTCAAGTCATAAGTGGTTTTGCTCCCCATCATTGTCTTAGAAATTATGATTGATCTAATATTTGTCTGGCTGCAGCGGAACTTGAAAATCATGGTCAATATGGGGCTGTCAGCAAAACAAGAGAAAGATAACAGAGTTCAGCACATAAAGAAGGAGGTTGCTGAGATGATTAAGTTGCGGATTCCAGTGATGAAATCAAAGGTATGTCTCTGTAATATTATGCTTGTTTTTTCTTTCTACCAGGAGTGCATGTTGTCTCTGCTAGAATTTGGGGGATTCAAGCCTTCCTGTGAAGTTGCCATTGTTCCTTAATGGTTAGGAAAAAAGAGTGTTCCATTTTTGTAGAAGTGAATGTTTCAACAGGAACTCTCAAACCAAGTTCTACTCCCTCAGGTTATGGGAGATGGTTTTATGAAAAACCTACAAAATTTCTTTTTTATGATGCTTGACGTGTGTTTGCAGTTGCTTGAACAACAAGCTGGAGCTTCTGATGACTTCCAAGAAGCAAGTCCTGAAGAGAAAGAAGCCTTTAAGAGAAAATACAGCATGGATGTTGCATTGGAAGACAAAATATGTGACCTTTATGATCATTTTGTTGAGGTAGTTTACCCCTCTCCCCCCTTCCCACTTCAAAACAAAAATGTCCTTGACAAGATTGCTTCTTACTAGAAACAGTTTGTGCTGGAGATTTACTTTGTCTATACTTGTAGGGCCTGGATGAAGATGCTGGTCCACAAGTCAGAAAGTTGTATGCAGAGGTAAGGGGACATACAAAGCTTAGCTATTTCTTGAAGAAGGAACCTCATTTTGCATGTGTAGTCTTTAATTTTGTCATCTACTTCATTTGCCATTGGGCAATCTTGGAAATTTTAGTACTTGATGCAAACTAAATTCCAAGTGTATCTGAAGGTAGACTCTAGATCAGAAAACAGTTTTTTGGTGCATGTAAGAGTTTGTTCTCTATTGTGGTGGTCACTTATCGGTGTATTTTCTTCTTAAGCTTCATCAAATAAAATTTTCCACTGCCAGGATTTTGGCCACAAAATGTGAATTAGGAGCTGCTTTGACATTTGGGGGTTTCTGAACTCTTCATAGTTTTCCCTGTGATGGTTTTTAACTGTCATTGTTCTGTTTTTCTTGCAGCTTGCAGGATGTTGGCCAAATGGATTTATGGACAATCATGGTATTAAACGTGCTATATGTAGAGCAAAAGATAGGAGGAGAGCATTGCACGCCCGACGTAAGGTAAAAAATACCCTGTTTATCTTTATTTTCTCTTCTTTGTTTAGTTCATTATTCATTTTGTCTTGTAGCTCTTAACATGTGAGCTTGCGTTCACAGTGGAGCTCTGTTTTAGGTAAATGTATAGGATTGCTTAGTCTATTTCTGATGGTGTCTGAGATTCCATTAAGAAATTAAATTTCACATAGTAATCAGTCCTTAGTTGTTCTCTTCGTCATCTCTCAGTGTATTACATTAAAATGCAGTTTCAAACCGTGCCTAAATGCTTTTTGTAGCTTTTACAATGGGTAAAAAGTTCATTTGTGTTCTTTATGTAGGACGGAGAGAAAATTAGGAGGAACAAGTTATTGGCCACAAAGGAAGGGGATACTACTAGAGTAGATGCTGGACCTATTGCCCAGTCGGTGCATATCCAAGAAAAGATTGTAGTTGATCATTCTTCAACTTCAACAAACAAGCCAGTATCCAGTAGTGCAGCTGTAAATGCTTCTGCACGAATGCATGTTTCCATAGCTAATGGTTCTGATGTGAATCGTCTAAAGCAGGAGAAGCTAAAGGGAGTTTCTGGCAGCTCTGTTGATCCACGAGGACCAGATGCGGTGCCAAAAAAGAAAATGAAGAGGAAACATGAGTCAGAATTGGGTGAAAGCTTGTTTCACAGCGAGAAATTGACTTCCGCACAGGCAGAGGAGAAGAACAAAACCAACAAGCATACTGGTTGTCCTACTCCAAAACCAAATAATGTTGCGACCTCCGGCTTTGAACAGCTGACATGATGCAATTTCTGCCTCTTGCAGCTTCAGTGATTGCCCCTCTTTTCTAGTTCTGTAATTATATAGTTATCCTGGCGCGTTACCCATAAGAAACCGAGTCTCTTATTTTGAAGTTACAGATTAAAGGCACATTTAGTTAAGGCAAAAAATTAGAAAATTGATGTCTTATTAGCAGTTAGGCTCTCTGCTGTGGGGCATTTTGATGCTAGTTTTATTTATGGGCTGGAAATTACTCTCTTCCGTGGTTCATTCTGGTACCAACTAAAATTTCGTCGTGCGTTCTAACCCAAAGTTAGAACTTTTTGATATTTATCTGAGTTGGATAAATGCAGGATTATTTTCTAGAACAAGCAAAAATGTGAGATGAAACAGAAAATGTGACGTTTTTCATTTTTCTGATTCCAGTTTCTCTTAGGTCCACAAGTTCAAATTTTGATCACTTGATTGATGAAAATTTACTCACAATTCTACAAGATTGAAATACGTCGTTTTTGAGATATCGAGTAAAGCTTTCATTAGGAGAGTAAAATACATGTTGAACTCTTTTCCTTAACTATAATTTTGTTCCAAATGGATTTTCATGGTAAGATTTTTAATGAGGTAGCACTCAAGGTGTAGATGTGTGTACTCTTTTTTCTCCACTAAGCTTTTTTTCATTGGGTTTGTTCTAGTAAGGTCTTAACGAGAAACGTTATTTATGGACATCTAAGGGAGTGTTGTATATTTTGAATTGTCTGTTTACTTAATTTATGAACTACTTACATTCATGTATATATATTTCCAGGTTCTATCAAATCATTTTGGATAAGATGAACAATATTTCTCCACAACTATCTTCTTGATATTGTAAAAGCATGTTGCAAAGTAAATAATATTACTTACTAGTTAAGGTGGATTATTAAATGTAGTTTAGATTAAATACTTCCATCGATGAAACTATTTTCTTCAACCTATTATATAAAGCCATTCAAAGTTCTTAACCACGTATGACGTACTTCATTGGCCATTAGGCTGCACTCCTGATGTCTCCCCACAATATAATCTCTCACATACAATACCCATTGATCTCACTCTCTCCTCTTTGAGTAGAATAATTTTTTTGCTAATATTGAGTGGTAGAGATTAGATATTAAAGAGATCAGTTACTTAAATTTTGGTTTAATATAGGAAGGAGTAATTAATTAGTACCCAAAAATAGTTGGGACTGCTAACCATGTGGAAACTGCATTTACTCATTATTTTAGTAAAAGGGTTATTTGGAATTGACATCAAACTACCTGTCTGTACCTCAAATATAATCATTATGTATACTTTAATTTTATTCTTTCTGCACAACTCCACATTGCCCATTTATGTATCTATGTTGCTTTTGTTTTACCTTTATTTGTATGAATTGTTTGTCAAACTATAAAATGTTTTAATGTACATTTTTAGCCAGATTGATAAAAAAAAATCACCCTCCTAGTGTGTTTTATACACACTGATTATACCGAATAAAATTTGTAAAAAATTAATCACATGTTTTGTTTTATTGGATGGTTTGTAGTGATATACGGTTCTTATTCGATATATATAATATACTAATAGAAAATAAGAAATTGACGACAGACAAAATTTCATATGGCTAAAAAAATAAATATGTTTAGTATGATTGGATCAAATATCACTATAAGTTTTAAGGACATTTACAAAAAATACTAATTATCATTAAAAATACATATTTAATGACAATTAATCTATTATCGCTAAAGATCATTTTTACCAGTTAATAACTGAAATTTTTCAAAGAAAGATGAGTAGCAAAGCATGAAGTCTAGAAATAAGCACTTACACATAATAAAGAAGAACCTACAAAAGGGGCAATATTATTAGTAACTATTATTTGAAAATTAAAATTAGAAAAAGAAGAAAAAATGAAATAGGAAATTTAAGCTGTCCCATGTGGTGAATTTCAGAGTACTTTTGCAGAGCATTCTCTTTGTACCCACCAATTCAAAAGCTAATTCATGCACATTACCATATTAACAATTAATTATGAAGAGGCCATATATATATTTGTATATATGTCAACATCTTAATTAGTCAACAACAATAACATACTCAGTGATGATATGTAATTCCATAAAAATAAAATTTAAAGTGAATGATGTATACTCACTTTTATTTCCTATCTTGCGAAGAAGAATAGAAAAATTGCTTTGTCTTTGTTGATCGTTGTTTCGATCGAGCACTCTTTTTTCTTTGTCCAATTTCGTTTTACCAAACAAGACTGATTTCTTACCGACCCGCGGAGGGATATCAACATCTTGGTCAAACCCCTAAAAGTTTTGCAAGAGTTTGTGAGCTTGACCAGCTCTAATTACTAGCCATATTTGATAGTTTTAGAATTTTTTTCTCTGATTAGACATTGTAACACTAACCTTTTTTTATAGTCTACACTATTCTCCCTTATTTTCTCGTAGTTGTAATAATTTTTTTTTTATATTTATTATTAATATAAAAAATATACTATGGCTAAATTGTCGTGAGATAATTTATGATCGTACAAATACTTTTTGTTTAAAACTCCTTTATATACTTTTTGTTTATTTTTATTTTGAACTTTGCGCACTTTTGAAGAAATAATAATTTAATATGAACAATTTATTATAATTTAATAATTAATAGGAAAGCAATAAAATATATATTAAAAGTGATAAATAAAAATAAAAATAAAATACTAAATAATTAAAATAAACATAAAAATATGTCTCATTTTTTCTCTTTTGTAAATTACGTGTCTAATCAAACAGTACTCGCATGAATTGAAACTTAGGTTTGGAAGTAAGTGATTTGGTCAAACTATGCTTGTTCTTTCTCTGCCTCCCACCCCCTAAAGTAGGTAATGAAAAAAACAACAAAAAAAATAAATGGGAAGAAGTGATCACTGGTCTTGTGCATGTGAAGTGTGGAAGAATACTACTACTAGTATTAAATGGGAGTGACATGAAGATGACAACGTATTAATCAGATGTCTCGAATTAAAGCCTCTTAAATATAAAATCACTTTTGTTAGAAAGTGTTTTACGTCTGTTGCCTTTACCCTTTAATATAAGACTTTTTGATGTGAACTCAAATTTAATCGTGTGAAACTTCTCAATGTGACTCTAATATGAATACCAAACATCAAACGAGAAACCAGAAAAAAAACAATTTGTCTTGTCCACTTTGAGAGAACAACAAAGAAAAAATGAAAAGTCTGTCACTGGTGGTGAGTGGTAAGTATTAATCAGATGTCTCAAATTCAAGTCCATTGAATATAAACTCGCATTTGTTAGGAAGCGTTTTATGCCAAATCCTCCAATATAAGACTTTCTGGTGCGAACTCAAATTTAATCGTGTGAAACTTCTCAATGCAACTCTAATATGAATACCGAACATCAAACGAGAAACCAAATTTTAAAAAAACAATTTGTCTTGTCCATTTGAGATAACAACAAAGAAAGAAGTGATCTCATGAGAGACCTTCTTCACTTTCTACTTTGGGTTAAGTCTAGAATTATGATCACTATCCCAAGAAACCCTAATTGGAAATACACAAGAATATTTGGTACCATCATTTCTCCAAGAAGGGTTCATACAATAAGTTGTCAGTGGTGGTTATGCGTCAACAACAACATCAATTACTACTTTATATTATATAATAATATAATATTTCTAAACTATAATATAAAAGAAATTACACATGCACTTTGAATATATATACATATATATATCATCATACTATGTAATTATAATAATTATTGCAACTTTAGAAATTTCGTTAAGAAATGTTTAAGATTTGCTATATATACGAATGACAAATAATTTTCGACCTATAGAATTCATATAATTTTCTATGAATGCCGCTTTTACTACATGTTGTGAGAAATTACAACTAAAGAGTTTTCACACAAATCATATTATTACATGTTGTGAGAAATTACAACTAAGGAGTTCTCACACATGTCATTATGTGTGTGAAAATGAGCAGAAAGTTTGAATTTTTTTAGAAAGATTTGAACTTATATATATATATACAGTTATACACTAATAATTGTAACAAAAATTTATAGTACTGTCAATATATTAGAATATGTATAAATTGTATGGTAACGGGTGATCACTTGACTATTATTTTTCTAAGTTACTATCCTCACATTTTTGTTTTTTAATTTATAAACATATAATTATGTTTTAGTCATGAAAATTCTTTTACATTCTCAATGTACAAAAAGTCCATGCATCTTATCTTATTCCAAAAGAAACCAAATCAGGATATAGGTATTTTTTTTTGAGGGGCATAAAGAAAGATCTAAATAAGTTACTTTCTTCATTTTTTATTTTTTTTAGTTCGCTTGACAAAAATATTTTCTTTCTATTTTGACAATTTTTTAATTTTAATTTTTCACCTGACATATTTCAGATCATAAGATTAAAAGACATTTTAGTATATTCTACATATATCCTTAGTTCATTATTTTCTTAAACTCTATGCTAAATCAAAATCAGACAAATAAACTAAATCAGAGTAGTTTTTTTCCCTTCACGCTAAAAGTTTTTAAAGAAAGTATGGAAAATAGAGAAGTTGGTTTATATATATATAAGACACTCACCCTCTACCCAAATCAGAAAGCCATCCTGAAAAAAAACACAACAAGAACAACGAAGGTAAACTCTTTATTTTCCTTTTTATCTCCTCTAATAATAATTCTTCCATATATTAATAAATAACTCATCAAAATTAACCATTTCTCACTTTTACACCCTTTAAGATCTTGTTTTAATACATTCTTTTGTGCAATTTCAAGGAAATTAACAAATCATTAATTGGTCTTTAATTAAACGTTAAACAAGAAAATTCAAAAGGAATTTTTTGTTGTTTCTAAGTTGATGCATGCATGTACTTACAATTATTCTTTATTAATCCTAAACAAGAAGCTTTTGTATATATATATATATATATATATATATATATATATATATTTCAATTATCATTTTTTTAACCATAATTAATTAAATAATTGTATGTATATTATATAGGTGATAATAATATTATGGGGAGAGGAAAGATAGAAGTGAAGAGAATTGAAAACAAAACAAGTAGACAAGTTACTTTCTCAAAGAGAAGAGCTGGACTTCTCAAGAAAACACATGAACTTTCTGTTCTTTGTGATGCTCAAATTGGACTTATCATTTTTTCAACTAAAGGCAAATT